AAGTTACACACACAAGTAACCTCTTCCCCAGAAAGGCAGCAGCTTTGCTGCAAGCTTGATTGGAAAATGCACTCCAACTCCAGATACTTTTAACATGTTCAGGGGAACCCAGAGAACTGTTCCCTCCTGAGATCTACCAGCAAGTAGAAACCAGCATCGCTAAGATTCACCAAGTGGCTGCAAAGTTCCAACAAACGTTAGATTACCATACCGCGCCCCTCTCCACTTGAGGAAATGGGAAAAGGAATTAGATTAGTTTTCTTTGTTTTCACAGATACCAGATAGGATTAGGTCTATTTTAGGGGAGTATTCTAAAATTTAGGCTGGTTATACTTTTTTTTTCCATGTATTTTGTTTAAAATAATCACCTGTTGTTTTAGCAAATTTGGCAACACACTAAATCTCTAGAAATGACTTTCTTCAATGCTAAAAGCTTGGCTTCTGATCAAAACGTCTATTTCTTAGTAAATTGCAAGAAACTACTCTTTAAGTCACCACGGAGGTGGAGCCAGAATTGACAGCAGAGTCCTCATCGCGCTCGAATATTCCCAGTGCAGTGATCCCAGTTACACATTCCGTAACAGATCACAGTGTATAATTAACCCTGTGCTTTTAATTAGCCCTATGCTCCTCTCTGGCCAGGGTCTTCTTATAGCGGAATAACCTGTTCCAAAACGAGGAGCACTGACCCCCACAATGAACCACAGAGGTCTGGCTGACACACGTCACAACGTAACATCAGAACAAGAGGAACAAGCCCAAGCAGAACTGTACGGCTCTGCTTCACTTACCCTCCCCTCACCCCCAATTTGCTTTCTCAAGAGAAACTACATGTACACACTGCTGCCTAGGAATTCTCCCTCTCCCAAATTCCCACCAACTCCCTTATAAACATCACTGGCTTCACTGGAAGATGTTTGCTTTTTTTTTCAAATATATTTTACTGATTATGTTATTATAGTTGTCCCATTTCCCCCCTTCATCCCCTCCACCTTGCACACCCTCCCCCTTCCACATTCCCCCCCTTTAGTTCATGTCCATGTGTCTTTAAGTTCTTTAGCTTTTACATCTCCCATACTGTTCTTGCCCTTCCCCTATTTTCTACCTACCGTCTATGCTACTTATTCTCTGTACCTTACTCTCCTCTCCTCCTCCCTCTCTCCTGTTGCTAATCCTGCATGTGATCTCTCTTTCTGTGGTCCTGTTCCTGTTCTAGTTGTTTCCTTAGTTTGTTTTTACTTTAGGTGTGGTTGTTAGTAATTGTAAGTTTGCTGTCATTTTAGTGTACATGTGTTTTATCTTCTTTTTCTTAGATAAGTCCCTTTAACATTTCATATAATCAGGGCTTGGTGATGATGAACTCCTTCAACTTGACCTTATCTGAGAAGCACTTGATCTGTCTTTCCATTCCAAATGAAAGCTTTGCTGGATTGAGCAATCTTAGATGCAGGTTCTTGCCTTTTGTGACTTGGAATACTTCTTTCTAGCCCCTTTTTGCCTGTAAGGTCTCTTTTGAGAAATCAGCTGACAGTCTGATGGGAACTCCTTTGTAAGTTACTGTCTCCCTATCTCTTGCTGCTTCTAGGATTCTCTCCTTCATTTTAATCTTGGCTAATGTAATTATGATGTGCCTTGGTGTGTTCCTTCTTGGGTCCAACTTCTTTGGGACTCTCTACGCTTCCTGGACTTCCTGGAAATCTATTTCCTTTGCCAGATTGGGGAAGTTCTCCTTTATTATTTGTTCAGGTAAGTTTTCCACTTGTTGCTCTTCTTCTTCCCCTTCTGGTACCCCTATGATTCAGATGTTGGAACATTTAAAGATGTCCTGGAGGTTTCTAAGCCTCTCCTCACTTTTTTAAATTCTTGTTTCTTCATTCTTTTCTGTTTGGTTGGTTCTTTCTTCCTTCTGGTCCACTCCCTTGATTTGAGACCCAGTTTCCTTCCCATCACTATTGGTTCCCTGTGCATCTCCTCTCATTTCACTTAGTGTAGCCTTCATTTGTTCACGTAATTTGTGGCTAAAGTCAACAAGTTCTGTGAGCATTCTGATCACCGGTGTTTTGAACTGTGCATCTGATAGGTTAGCTATCTCTTTGTCACTTAGAAGTATTGACTCTGGGGCTTTGAGCTGTTTTTCTGCTTGAGCCATAATGTTTTCGTCAGGTCGTGCTTGTTAGGTATGAGGGGCGGAGCCTTAGGTGTTAGCCAGGGTGGGGCAACTCAAGTCTCTGGGTTGTGATGCTGTATGTGGGGGCGGGGTCAGAGAGGGAAAAAAAATGGCACTTTGCTCCACTGTCTGTGGCACCTCAGCCTCTTCCACCGCTGCTCCCAAGCAAATTGGGCCTTTCCGATGCTGATTCCTGTGTGGGTGTGCTTGTGTGCGTTCTAGGACTCTGTGGGTTTCTCCAACAAACTTTCCTGTGAGGGTGGAACTTTCCTGTGAGTCTCTCCCTGCGCCTCAATCCCCACAAGTGTTTTTTCTTTTTTTTAATTTTATTTCTTTATTTATCTTTAGAGGGGAAGGGAAGGAGAAGAGGGAGAGAAATATCAATGTATGGTTGCTTCTCGTGTATCCCCTGCTGGGAACTGGCCTGCAACCCAGGCATGTGCCCTGACTGGGAATCGACCCATAAGTATTTTCGATCGGTGTTCTGAGGCTTTATTTCCCAGCACTAGGACCCTGGGCTGTGCAATCCATCTCGTTCCCCAGTTATCTGCGTGCCAATGTGGGACTGCTGCCCGGTCAGTCAGCCACTTTGCGCACGGTGCCCCGCTTCTCAATTGCCGCCTCGCTGGGTCTGCCCATTGCCACACACACCCAGGGTCTGCCAGCCCTGCCTGGGTCCCCAGGGTCAGTCCAGTGCGCACCCGGGGTGCCTTGTGCACCCAGTGTCACAGCTTCCTGTGCCACGACCCTCTCTGCTCCTCTGCCCGACTGCGACCCGCCTACCGGTCTGGATGAATGTGTCTCTTTTAACTCCTTGGTTGTCGGACTTCCATACAGTTTAATTTTCTTTCAGTTTTGGTTGTTTGTTTCTGAATTGTTGTTGTCCTTAGTTTGGTTGTTCGAGGAGGCACAGTGTGCCTACCTACGCCTCCATCTGGCTGGAAGTCAGAAATAAATGGAAGATGGTTTTTAAGGCGTGAGCCTGCTCTCTTCTCGGGTTGCAGGCACCTGAAATAAAATCGCTTTCTCTCTCACTCAACCCGTGTCCCAAGTGTGGCAATTGTGCCTGTGGGATTGTTTTTCCCAGTTTCATCACCGTAAGTCTGGAACCTTCCAACAGTATACGGCCTATATGGTGGCTACCTGTGAACTTGTCCCCCCAACCAGAATATAAACACCTAATGTGAAATGGAACAGAAAGTTCTGACCTCAGTATGTGTGTTCAAATAGTCATTACATCAAATACCTAAACTAGTATGACTGGACCCTGTGGAATTATGTGTCAGGTTATATAAGTCATTCTGTGTTGTATAATCCAAAATGAACATTCCTAGGACCTAGAACTCTTACAGCTGTATGTCTTATATCGGGTTGGCCAAAAAGTTCATTTAGTCTTTTTCTGTCCGATGGTTCTAGTAGCTCTTGATTGTCTTTAACTAAACAATTTTGTTAGATTGTATTGTGACAGTTGTCATTCAGCATGCGTTTAAAAAAAACTTATCAAAATTGGTGAATTTTTGTGTAGCCATTTTAATATTGAAGATGAAAGAAAATATGCAATATTTTTGGCATATCTGCTTTATTATTTCAAGAAGGTAAAAACGCAACTCAAATGCAAAACAAGATTTGTGCACTGTATGGAGAAGGTGCTGTGACTGACTGAATGTGTCAAAAGTGGTTTGCAAAATTTCTTGGTACTGTTGACATTTTGGCCAAATAATTCTTTGCTGTGGGGCTGCCTTATGCATTCAAAAATGTTTAGCAGCACCCGGGGCCTCTAGCCACTAGAAGCCAACAGTAGGAGATAGCCAAGTACTCAAAATATCAAATCGATAAAGTTATTGGTGAAAATGAAAAATCTGTCTTCTATTTTACAGAAGAAACTAAGCAGACTTTGTGGCTAACACAATGCATCACACACAGCACGTGTGTCTCATACAGACAAGACAGCATGTGCCTCATAATCCTAAACAAGGCTAGGAGTGACTTTTGTATCCCTCTAGGAGTTAGCCTACGGCTTTGCATACAGTATGCACCTAGTAAATAAATACCTGCTACGTTGTTAAAAGGGCATTAATGACTACTTGGCAGTTATGCAGGATCAGGAAGGGTCAAGCAGGGAAATTTGGACCTACTAGGAGCTATGAAAGAAGGACATTTAGGGGTGATTTCATTACCTGATTTCTCCCCCAAGGTTCTAACTACGAAAGTAAACATCAGAGGTAGATGACTGATTGTCTGGCCTAACAAATCTAAATGGGTCTCACCCTTATCACCAGCAATAGTTACTTAATCACAGTCCCACTGCTCATGGCCTGGCCATAAGATTTCTCAATCCTAAAAATGTGTTCTCAAAACACCCATGGAAATGTCCTCCCTCTGAACATTACTGAAATACCCACAACCATCTCCAAAGAATTACACTTTCTTTTTATTAAAAAAAAGTAGCCCCAAAACATCATTCCTGAGACTTCTAGTAAACACCAAATCTCCTGTAAGTATTTATTCTTGAGATAACAGAGCGCCCCCAAACCAAAAACGGGGAAAGGGACACAGGCTGAAAATGGAAAGAAGAGAGAGGAGAGGAATACCGCTCGCACTAGAACAGCAGGCAGCTTGCAGGCCTGACCGACAAACTCAGCCGCTGCTGCCAGGGGCCTGCTGGTGGTTAACGAGGCGCACTAATACCCACACGTCCCTGTCAAAATCCTACTAGAAGCAACCGCCTCCAAGGCAAGTTAGAATGTCTGTGAACTATCTCCAGAAACAGCAGAGCTCCGTCTGGCGGGGGCTGCATCAGAACTGGAACTGCTTCCTGTCACTAGCCACTTACCTTCTTCTCCTTCTTGCCAAAGCTAAGGCCAGGGGTCCCCTTCTCAACGACAACGCACGAGATGCCTTTGGGGCCTGGTCCTCCTGTTCGGCACATGACCACGTAGATGTGTGACTCACCTCCACCACTGATGAAGGCCTGTGGGGAGGGAGGTGGTGCACGGGGGTCAGGACAGCAGGACGGCAAGTGGCACGACAGCAGGACGGCAAGTGGCACGACAGCACAGAGCCCCTGAGGAGGGCTAAAAAGAAACTGTACTGACTAGGCAATCAGGGATCTAACTGAGGAGACTGTGAAAATGATAGACTAAAATGAATGAAATTATCTGGAACTAGATCAGAAGAGAGAGAAAGAGGGAAGGTGATAAAGGGAAGTGGGTCACAGGTTCTCTCCCAAGCATGTAAAAACCTTGTGGGAATATTAACTCGCAGGCAGCAAGGGTCCAGGCCATGTGAGCAGAAGGTGGAGACAACTGTTCTCCCAGTTGTTCTGGGAAAGCACAGTGGTACCTTGGAGCCGTTGAGAACGTAATGATCTCCTTGAAGTTTAGCTGAGGTCAGAAGGGAGGCGGCATCACTCCCACTTCCTAAGGCAGGGGTCAGAGAGGGTGGGGAGCAAGTCAGCGAAGTTAAGGGAGCTCCAGCACAGTTCAATCTCCTAGGAAACCCTCCCTTATGGCAAACAGCTCAGAGTTGGATACTTCAAAATCAAGACCATCAAAGGAACTCTCCATACTTGGTAAAAAGTGCATACAGCAGTCAGACTGTTTTCCATTTTCATTACACTGTCCTGCAGTGAGCCCGGAGAAACTGCCCTAGAGGCCTCTGAGTTTCGTAATGTCCAGTCATATGAGAAGCTGTTACTCTATAACAAAACTTCCTGGCAAACAACAGTGGTGTGTATCAACCTGCTAAGGAGTACTCAGTGACTTCTCCTGAGTAGCATCTCACCTGCGGTATGGCAAACCCACCTGGCTCAGTGAGGCAGTAGGAAGCAAACTTCTCCATGGTACAGAGCGGTGGGCAAAATCTGTGCCTCTGTTCCTCATTTCCAAAGGTATCGATCATCCAGACACACATGCTGACAAGTACAGCAAAGACAAAAGGCACTCACAGAGGAAGAGATGGAAAAGAAAATGCGAGAGGGAAGGGGAGGGGGGAGGAAAGCAAAGGCAGAAAGGGAGACAGAAGCAGAAGAGAGAGTGGGAAGGGAAAAGTCACAATCGAGGAGATTCAACTTTGAAGGAAGGGCCGGATTGTAACACATTCCCAGAAAACGTACCACCTGGAGATAATCCAGGCCAAACTGTTTCTCACATGGACACTCATGCTACTTCTAGTTAGCTCCCTAACCGAGCTCCTGAAAGTCTAAGAGTTTTATGTACTTTCCCAAATTTCTGGAGGAGTCCTTTTGGGGTTGAGGAAATGGAAAACCTGGCCCTGACCACTGTACAGGAGAAGTCTGGGGCCGTTCGATCTGGGACTTGGGGGAAGGCAGGCAGGCCTGATTCTCTAAGCCACATACATAATGACAAATTCAAGTCCGACGGGTAGCAGCAGACCCGGAATGAACCTTTAACTGTCTGGTTCTTCAAGGCAACTGACCTGAAAAGACACATCTTTTTTCCTATTTACCCAAAATTTCCCAAGCAACCCAGTGAGCACCGGGCACTCACTTGTGGATGCTGATATAGGCTGTGGTGCTGGTGCAGCCTGTAGCCAAGGCTTCGAAGATGACCGAGGCATCGAGCCGTGACAGTCCTGACCCTCCTACATCTGTTCGTATGTAGACCCCTCCGAAACCTAGCTGGGCAGCCTTCCGCATCATGTCCACTGGGAACAGTTCCTGTGCACAAAAGGGAGCAGAGTCATCAGTAAGTGATTCACAGGTGGACACTTCTTCAGAGGACACAGAGAGGGATGAGCATGTTTGCATTTGGGAGTGTAGGGATTCTCTTAGCTTAGTATGCTTCTCTCTCGTGTGTACAGTGGTATCGGTTGAAATGCATTCTATAAGGACTGGTTTTCTTTTCATTATCAAAACAACTGCCTTGCTTACAGAAAAGCTCCAAATCCTTGTACAATAAAATAAAAACAAAACCGGTACTTTCAAGATGATGAGTACCTTCTAAAAAAAGAAATCACTTCATTACCAGTACTCTCATTTGTAAGTGGAGAATGAACAGTGGACACAGGATTACGAGGGGATGAAGACAGGCATCTGTGGGACTATCTAGCCACAGAAAAACGTCTACCTTCTGGTCCCACTCGGCCATATGAGGGGCTATCTCCCGGGCTGCGAAGTCAAAGGCCACTTTCTGAAATCCTTTCTGTTCTTCATTTAGTCCCGTGGAAGCTGTGGGCAAGATCACACCCAGTCAGTTCCAGCACAGGGGTCCGGGGAGAGTGCCGCAAACGAGCACCACGAAGCTGGGATGGTGACCCTGTCGGAGCACTTCCCGCACACAGCCCTGCCTTCAACACCCGCACAGTGACATCACCCACTGTTATTCCGTTTCTTTGATGTATTGGGTTGGCCAAAGTCCATTTAGTGTTTTCTGTAAAATAAAACACAGATTTTTCATTCTCACCAATAACTTTATTGATTTGATATTTTGAGTACTTGGCTATCTCCTACTATTGGCTTCTAGTGGCTAGAGGCCAGGGGTGCTGCTAAACATTTTTGAATGCATAAGGCAGCCCCACAGCAAAGAATTATTTGGCCAAAATGTCAACAGTACCAAGAAACTTCGCAAACCACTTTTGACACATTCAATCAGTCACAGCACCTTCTCCATACAGTGCACAAATCTTGTTTTGCATTTGAGTTGCGTTTTTACCTTCTTGAAATAATAAAGCAGATATGCCAAAAATATTGCATATTTTCTTTCATCTTCAATATTAAAATGGCTACACAAAAATTCACCAATTTTGATAAGTTTTTTCAATGCATGCTGAAATGACAGCTGTCACAGTAAGACCTAAAAAAAATGTTTCCAATGAAGTTAAAGACAACTAAGGGCTATTAGAGCCATCATACAGAAAAAACTAAACAAAGTTTTTGGCAAACCCACTATTACCTCCTTTTCCCTTGTTCCTTTACTCCCAAGTGGATCGACCGACTTTATTTACCTCCTAGTTATTCTTTCAATACCCTTCTTCATCTTGTCCTCCTCATAAGTCCCCATTAAAGTAACAACGGGCACATTTTGGTAAATGCCTTTTTTCCGTTGGGCTGTGTCAGTATCCTGGGGAAACTGTGCCCCCTCCACGTACATCTGTCTGCCGCTGTCTACCTGCGCCAACACTCAGTCTGAAGGCTCAACTGGAAAAGGAAGATATGTGTAATTCGGCTTACTCTCCTAGTTAAGGGAAAGATCTTAGAATGCAGCTCCACATTTGGCAAGTCTCAGACATTCGTGAAGGACAGTGTTGATGAAAGTGTTTCAGTGTTGCAACATGGTGAAGGCCTCACCAATCTGTTTTCACCCCGGGGATTCAGAATTCTTAGAACATTTTCTATCCTCTCAGTGTGGTGACTCTGGGTGATTCCTTCACTTGAAGGTCTAAGGTACCTAAGAACTGAAGGACGATGAATAACTGAGCAACACCAACAGGCAGGCAGTACACCTTTGTGGGAAGACGTTTTTCTAAAGCATTAAACATTTTGTCAAAGACTATACTATAAGTGTTTCATCAGAGATGGTCCTTTTCAGGAGGAAAACATCCATACCTGCCTACGTGAATCAGAGTGACTATTCAATTCACGACATCATTACTTCACAAACTTTCTTTAATGAGTCAGTTCTCCTAATGACATGAACTCTATTTAGTTTTCCCCATTTTTCAAAAACTGCACAGAGTAAGGCAGGACTGAATTGGACAGCAGAGCTGCAAGTCAACTGGCTAGTAAAGTAAAGTCTAAAATAAGTTTCCTGTTTTGCAGGGTGATTCAGACTTCCAGCCAGAGGCAGGCCAGAAGCTAAAAGTGAAGACCTAGGCAAAACTCCCGTGAACAACGACAACCTTGTGGGGATTGTGTAGAGAATTTAGAAAAGAGAGGACCAGAGATTCTGGGAGCCAGCACACCACAGCAGGATCAGCAACCTGCACAAGGTGAATCAGACTTACAATGTTCACGCTCTTATTTCTCTTCTATTGTTTCTTAGTACGGACACTTCGAAAGGATTGCCTGCCTCAGCTGTGCTAAAACAAATGAAGCAGTGTGTGCTTAGACTTGGAGGCACGGCGATGCCAGGAGGTGCAATGGTAGCTGTAAAAGTGAAGGGGAAGAGAAAATGCAGGGCTACTAGCACTTTGCAGGGGGTGTGTGTCAGGGCCTCTGCCTTTTGGTGTGTCAGGGCCACAATGGAAGAAGAGTTGTCTTGGGCAACACATTAAATACATTGCAACATGTAATCACAAAGAAGTCTCACAATGTTTTAAGTAAATTTATGATTTTGTTCTGGGCAGAATTCACAGCCACCCTGGGCTACAGGCAGCCCCACAGGCCGCAGGTTGGACACGCCTGTAAGGTTTCATCCTGCGTGGTAACCTGGTCATTCTGGGGTAAGGCTAACGAGCACTAAAGACCATAGATCCACATTCAACAAAAGTTCATTTCAGTGCCTCATGCCAACACTGCGGAGCCCTTCCAGCAGAGAATGAGTTTGGGTGGCAAAGCCTGTTTCTCCAGGGCAGATCTGGGCATCTCCCGTGGAGGTAGGAGAAAGCAGTCTGTCTGTATCAGGGCTCCCATTAGAAGGGAACACTCAGAAATGAATAGCTGTGAGGATGAGAGACTATTAGGCTGCCTTGAGAAGCCTAGAGCAGACAGGCACCTTAGGTGTTATCCTCAGGAATATCCCTAATAAGCAATTCATGATTCTCCAACTAGGATTTGGGCCACTCATTTGCACAACCTTGCAGAAAGACCCTGCAGACCGTGGCTCACGGACCATTCACACCAGAGCGCTTACTGACGCCTCCTGCGGAGCAGCGGCGGGATTTCAGAGATGACCATGGCCTGTCCGCACAAAGGATGACATAAATGATGACACTGCACACATCTTACTGTGTAAGGAGAAGTGCTACAGAGTTTCAGCCCCAGCAAGAGCTCAAGAATGTTTACAGTTATTATTATTGTTGTTATTAATAGTACTTGACAGTAAAGCAAGTAGTTCAAGGAAAAAATAGATTTTAATGGCATCCTAAGTAAATAACAGGGAACAAGTGTATGCAAGTCATGTATAAGTAAATACAACATAGGTACACTTTTTAAGATAACAAATAGTTTTAGCTAAAGGGATGCTAATGACAGGAAAGCATAATTGGAGGGAAAAAGTGGCAAAGGCAAGTTAAAAAGCAAAATCTACACAAGATAGCATGGTTACTAATTAAAAATACCTAAATTCCCAGAAAACGTACACTGTGAAACAAAACAGAAACCTCATGAAGTTTACCGAGGTCACTGGCAGAGGCCAAGGAGCCAGCGCACACCACTGACGTGCACGCACACACTAAACTGGCAAAGCTACGCAGAAAAGGGTCCACTGAGAGGGGGAAAGTCTTCACTGTGCAGCAACAGAAGCATGAGAGGTGAAAACACACACACAGAACAAGTTCAAATATACAATAATCTTTAAAGGCATCCAACGCACAGAATCAATGGTTCTGTTTGAGAATCTTGGTGTTTAAGGAATGCTTGGGAAATTACAGCCAATTATAGTGAAAGTGCGCTGGTCAAGGAATTAGTCATTTGAACTCTGGTTCTCAAATTATTAATTATGCATCTTTCAGTAAGTCTGGTACATCTGTCAACTCAGCTACTGCATTGTCAACAGAGGGGGCTCCACTAGACATTGAATAAATTACCTCATTTGCAAAATGACACTACCTGCAAAATGAGGAAATTATATGTGTGTGATATATGTTGAAATATAAAATCACAATTTTCTTAAAATTATTTTCACATTAAAATGTGCAGTGAAACAATGAGAAATATTTGTTGATCACTTCCATTAGTTTGACATTTAACAAGTTCCCCACTTGACATTTTAACAAGTAGGACAATATGCTGAAAGGACAATTTCCTTTTACTTTACTATTTAAAAGATAATTTCCTTTAAAAATGTGAACAAGCACCTCATTGGCTGAAGCTACACTGCTGGCTGCTAGAAATACTCCTATTTAACCTTCTGGTTGACAGAACTACTTCCTGTTCGCTTTGCTCCGCACAGGAGCGACCTTGTGTACCAAGCTCTAACGCCAGACCAGGGCAGCTCCTTCTGAAGTGCTGGGCACTGAGGAGAGAACCGAACTCCACACCTCAGTGTACTTTCTACAGCCTAAGGTCAGTCTAAGGGATTCATAGACTATTCCACTGTTAAAAAAAAAAAAGAGTGTCATTTACTTAAAATTAAAAAAAAAAAATTTCCGAAGAGAAAGGAGGTTAGGTGCTTGACAGAAGCAGGAAGTGACTGGGGATCTCCCCGTCAGCCGAGGTCCTTCCGACCCCTCCCTGGTGCTCCCATCTAGGTCACCTGCCTGGTCCCGAAGACCTTCAGGTCTGTAAATGCTGGTAGTTCCCCACTTGCAATATATTTTTTTTCTTTAGGAATTTCAACTGTAAAAGTGTTTTATAGCTATAGGTGTACATTTATACAATCTAACTTTTTCTCATCATCACCAGCACCACTTTTTACATTCTTACTGCCTTTATGACTTATTGTTATGATTTAAAAAAACCGAAGTCACGCGTTTCTGCACTCAGAGTCAAAAGTCTAACCAATCACTAATCGTCTAAAAGCAGGGATCACAACAATGTATTCGAGTTGTGAGGATAAATGTAAAGTGCTTAGTTATTGCACTCATTTCATAAGTGCACTTATGAAACACGATGTCAGGAGGTTAACATCAACTAAGTTTAAGGAGGCCGTGAACAATAAAGGAATAATAGCATTAGCAAAAGGGATTAAGCTGTATTAGCTGCAGGGCCCCGAGGCAGTACAAAGGCTGTTTTAGACTTGAGTCTCCAAGTTCCTCTAGACAAGCGATTTTCAACCTTGTTCATTCTACAGCACACACAAACTAATTACTAACACTCTGTGGCACACCAAAAATATATACTTTTGCCAATCTGACCAAGGAATAGGTACGGTTTTGAAAAAATAGGTACGGTTTTGATTCATTCACACCAGACAGCTGTTGTCAGTGATCCTGACTAAATAGCGAGGTAGTGCTTGTTTCAAAACGCTGGCGGCACCGGGTGGGAAATCGTAGCCGTGGAGGGGTGCAGTGGGCCGGAGAAAGGACGGGGCTCCGCACCGAGGGAAAGGCCTGGGTCACGCGTTTTGGGAGGCTGCTTCGTAACCGCGTCCTCTGGGCCGGGCGGGGTGGTGGTGGTGTGGAGGTGGGGGACTAGCTGACGACGACCAGGGGCGCGACAGGTGGGCTGAGATCGGAAAGAGTGAGAAGCGCCAAGGCTACCCAGGAGGACAGGATAGCGGCCGGGGTGGGTGGGGAGGAGCCGAGCCGGGGGTGACCTCCCAGAGGGATGGAGGAGGGTGCAAAAGGGAATGGGGGTAGAGGCGGGTGCCGGCCGGGTGGTGAAGGCGGTGCGGACCTCCTCGGGGTGACAGAGCGCTCCAAGGGCGCGGAGACCACGGCCCCAGCCCGGGTCCCGAACACCTGTTCTCCGGGGTGAGCCTTACGGTCGATGCAGGAGATCAAGCCCCGGCGGCCGCTGTAGGCGGGGGCCCGGAGACCACTGCCAGGGCAGCAGAGCCACGCCCCGAGACGCCGGCAGCCGCTCCGCCACATGGCAGCAGTTCCAGATACAGCCGAAGACTGAAAGCACCTAAGCTGGCGCGTCAGTCCAAGCCCTGGCTTGGCGAGCAGCCCTCAACCCGGCATCCCGACCACACCCCGCGTCCCGACCAGCACCACGCGTCCTACGTACTGTAGTGCACTCTGGGAGCTGTAGTGCGCTGCGTGGCCCCTGCACTCCAAGTTCAGGTGGGTCTGCGGCAGGAGCAGGAACTACAACACCCAGAGACCCGTGGGGCCGGGGGGCTCCGGGGACGCTTGCTGAAAGCGCCTCCAGAAGGTTGGCTTTGGTTCCGTCTGCGTCTGCGGAGTGTTGGTAGTTCAGCCTCCCGAGAAAGCGGTGAACGAGTGAACCAAGGATCGAGGGAAAACCCAAGAAGAGTTTGTGGGCAGGTTACGCGAGATGGAAATGGGGTCGTAGATAATTGGAGGAAGCATTTGCGGGGTGGAAACCCCACCCAGTTGTCTGGGTGCTTCGCAAAGGAGCCTCGGTGCTGAAACACTCTGAATTTCCTTTCATTGTCTCCATCTTGCTCTGCGCAGGTTTTTGGGGACAGATACAGAGTTGCCTCTGGTATCACTGTAGATTCCAGAGTCTTCCGCTCTTCAACCCCGTGCGGGTAGATCATGCCGAGACCCAGGAAGAGACTGGCTGGGGTTTCTGGGCAAGGTGAGCTTGCACCTAGGTTGCAAAAAGGCAGCCTCACAGAGGACTTTTCTCTAGGGTGTTTAATACTGTTCCTTTTCGACTTCTGCCTGTGGGCAGATTCCTTTGTGGATTATTTTTTGTGTTATTCCTAGTCGCCCTCCATCTTCTCTTTACTCCCTACCAAGCTTATACCCAGAGCCCTTTCTGTTCGTTTGTTCATTCAGGCAATAGCGGTTTGGTAAGCACAACAAGCGTTTGTGATATAAGGTGGCACGTACTTTTCCTACTTGCAGGAAGAATGCAGACAGACGTAAGTGAAAGGATCCAAGACACTGGATTGCTAGGTGTAGAAGAGCAGGCAGGAATCACAGAGAAGTCTGTGAGAAGGAAGTGGAGTTTGAGTCCACTCTTAAAAAATGAGAGGCTTTCCACATGCAGAGGAAACAAGGTGTCTCTTAACTCCAAAGGAGCCTTTAGGAACTAGGCTAGGGAGGTTCGGAGATTTAGACATCCAGAAATGATATTTAGTGACTGACATAAGAACTTTGACTTCATTGAGAGGCTGGGTAGAGTAGTCATTAGGTGTGGATTCAGATAGACCAGAGTGACAGGTTCCTGATTCTACTGTTTACCGATTGTGTCCCATTTTCCAGATGAATAAAATGTCTCATAAGTTACATGGATTAACAATTACAGTTAGGGTAACAGAGAGGTGTGTCATGTAGTAAGAATTTAACAACTGTTAGCTGTTGAGTTCCTACTGTGTTCCAGGCACATTTTCTCTAACTAACTTAGGATGAAATCCAGTCTCTATCATGTCTATAGAAAGTCCTGAACGAGGTGCTTCATCCAGCTTCTCTTGGTGCCATCAGCAGAAAGGAGGCAGCCATAAAAGCAGTGATCCAGAAGAAAAGTATGAAAAGTTGATGAGAATAATAGCTAATATTTATTATTTACTATAAAGCCAGGCATTGTCTTAACCCCATTGTTTCCATTATATTATTTAATCTTCAAAAAAAGGCCGTGGAGTGTGGGCTTACTTCTTCATTGGGAAGAATAGCCTCAGCAAAGGCACAGGAGGGGGTGAGGGAAGGAAAACATTGACTACTTACCGTATGCCCAGGTACTCAGCTGGGACCTTTCATTTTAAACTGCAACCATGTAAGGCACCCTTATCCCATTGAATGACTAGTCCAGAGATATCCTGGGAGGTAGGCATTCTGGTCCCATTTTTATAGAAATAAGTTCAGCGAGTGAGCTGCCACTGTTGGTCACTGACGGATCCAGTATTTGAATCCAGTCTGACTCCAAACATGCTTTTTCCACAATGGAACATAATCTGTCAGCAAGTATGACAGCTCCCTTCTTTTTGCTTCTCCTATTGCAGACAAGAAGGGACCAGCAGGAAAGCGTATCAAGACTAAGAATGCAAATGAGGCATCAGCTAAAGTGGAGAACTCCAGCCCTCCGAGGACTTCAGCCCTTAAAAGATGTGGGAAGAGTTCAAGCAGCTACTGGCTCATGAAGTCAGAGCCAGAAAGCCGACTAGAGAAAGGTGTGGATGTGAAGGTGAGACCATGTACCTGTTTCTAACCCCTTCAAGCTTATTTTTTTAATAAAAATTTAATATGGACACTACAGGGTTCTATTACTAGCTTCATATCTTTGAAAGGTAGGGAAAAGATAATGAGGAATAAAATCAACAGGATTTATTACCATCAGCTATCTCTTGTGAATTTTCTAGCTACAAGAGAGGTGGCAAACTTTCTCTGTAAAGGGCCAGATGCTAAATATTTTAGGCTCTCTGCTCTTAGAGTTGGCATTGCAGTTTGGCTGTTGTAAGAAAGTTGTCAGATCCGAAAGATAAAGAAATGGTGGCTGGGTTCCTGTAAAACAGGGTCCACAAAATCAGGCTTGGGGCTAGACTCGTCCTGGAAGCGGTAGTGTGCCAGCCCCTAATCTAGACATTTGAATTGTAGATTGCCTTTTTCTTGCCACCTGGCATGTTCCCAGGGAATTCATGTAAATCAACTTTAGTAATAGCGCAGAGAAAATATAATTAAAAATGTTATAGAATAGATAATATTTAATAAATGAAACAAAAATAACCAGTGGATTGCTTTATGCTGTGGGTTATCCATTCAACTAATCCTTGTAATTAGCAAGGTTAAGGTAACAGAAAGCTTACTACACTTACCCAATACAAGTGTGTCTGTAGAGAGTTTATTCTTGTATTATTATTTATTAATTATTATATTATTTCCCATATGAACAATTGCGAACCTACTTTTGTGCACCTGGTAACATGAAGGACAATGAGCTGGATTAAGTTCTGTGTTCAGGTAGCCCTCAAAATGAGCTGATACCTTAATATTTAGTTTTCAAGGCACAAAAATAAGAAAAATGATGTGCTTTTTCCTCCTGAAAAGTATATTAGCATGACCATTCATATGTATTACTTGAGACATATGTCATTGCCTCTTCTGTGTTTTTCTATAGCAGACTGTACTTACGTTGTTTTGTAATGTTTTTCACAAAAAGTTTCCCCCAATGGACAGTAAACTTTATGGGGACAACACTCCCCAACAGTAATATTAATAATAATTAGTCACCTAATTATTGCAGGTGTAGCATTGTATGCAGTGTCATGCGTAGTAACTACTCAGTTTGCTGAATGGAAAAACAAAAAGGAAAAACAAGTGCCTCTTTAGAGCTGTTTCCCAGTGAACTACATCCTTCTGCTGTAGCCAGGAGTACTCCCAGTGTACGGGCAGCAGTGGCTTTCCATGTATCCTTACCAACTGACCCCGGGCTATTTAAGGAATGGCTTTATTTCCTGTTGCCTAGTTCAGCATTGAGGATCTCAAAGCAGAGCCCAAGCAGACAGCATGCTGGGATGGTGTTCGCAACTATCAGGTAAGGTAAGGGGCAGAGTGGGGTCGGTCCCTGCCGCCTCCTTATGGGTTTTGCAGTAGCAAGCTCTCTGGGCCAAGGTTGATTTTTCCCAGAACCCAAGCAAAAAATGTACCCCAAAACACCTTAGTTACTCTGACGGCATGCAGTTTGCAAATGGTGTATGTTTTAGCCAGTGTCCTGATACAAGTCTGGGTATCTTGGCAAAAGCAAGAATTGAATTGGGGGAAACCGTTAAAGAAACACTCATTTAATAAAAGCAGAGTTGCTTTCTGCTGACAGCTGGTGTTTTCCAGTTGGTAGAGAGGATAGTTCCTATTTCCTCTCTCCTGGGACAGGCCCGGAACTTCCTTCGAGCCATGAAGCTGGAGGAAGAAGCCTTCTTCTATCATAGTAACTGCAAAGAGCCAGGCATCGCAGGCATTGTGAAGGTTAGTTGTACAGGCTCTGGCCACATGTAGGTGCAAGGTGCTACAGCTTAAATAGGTAAGAAAAAAGTATCCCCCTCCCTGTCCCTGCTCTCACAGTATTGTGGGAAAACCGCCTGGGCCCCTTCCTATGTGACGAGGATTTCAAGAACAGGCCTCCATTTCAAGTCTCACTGGCAGACTTCCCTCCATCTCTACACCTTGGTCTTTCACCCCAACAAGCCTGATGGTAGCTCTTCTGAGCCAGCAGATATCGGGATAAAATTATTATCCACAGGTGAAAAAGCAGTGGCACCAAAAACATAAAGATTTTTGTCAGAATGAGGTTGGTTTCCTGTTTCCCTTAGACTGCATTATTTCCGGATACCTGAGCCCCCACTGGCTCTATAGCCAGGCAGGTGGGGTAAGAATGTGCAGGGCTGGAACTGAAGATTGGACTGGGATTAAAGGTTGGCCATGGAGCTGACTCTCCAGGCGAGTGATTGGAGGTGTGGTTGCGGTTTTGGTTGCAGATTGTGAAGGAGGCTTACCCAGACCACACACAGTTTGAGAAAAACAGTCCCTATTACGATCCATCCAGCAAAAAAGACAACCCCAAATGGTCCATGGTAAGGACTACTGTTTTTCCTGTTTCACGAGGGGAAGGCTGGACAAAGGGAGGATGGAGGTCTGGGATCTGTTTAGGTCGAGACATAGAGCCCGGTTGACTCGGATGCAGTTCCCTTGACGTTGGAAAGAGCACAGCACTCGCAGTACTGCCCACGGGAACCTTCCGCAGCAGCGGGAACACAGAGTGGACAGAGTCCAGCTGGGCCTTTCTGCCCCACACACTATTGTCACGTTAGGTGGACGTGCAGTTCGTCCGGATGATGAAGCGTTTCCTTCCCCTGGCTGAGCTCAAAACCCACCACCTAACTCACAAAGCCACTGGCGGGCCTTTGAAAAACATGGCACTCTTCACCCTCCAGAGACTTTCGGTT